AGTATTAACATGACAAATATGAAATCAGGCTTAGAAGTTAAAAAAAATATTATCCACTCATAGCAACAATTATCTCATGTGGTTATCATCACAAGGCTCAAATAGTCATGACATGGCAGACATTAATACTGACTATAGGGGGTCCATCCCAACAAGTTATTTTCAAATATGAGGACAGGTTTTTTGATACACTAACAAAGTCTGTCATGTGATTTCTTTATCATAAGGAACACACATGGGATTGTTTCATCAAATCAGCATGGATAAGCTATCAACTAGGGTCAAGCAAGTTCAATATGAGAGTATGAACAATGATGGAAGTCATTTTGTTGAACTGAAACCATACGGCATGACATCACAGATATAAGGACCAACTAGCATAGTACATCAGATGTGAGGTCTTAACAGGACATCAGGGGAAACTTAGGAACTTAATTTAATCGAGTTAACTAAATATAATAGTATAACTAGCATTTAACTGACAAAGATGGGAACACTATGTGTGGTTATAATTCATGGTTTAGCACATTATGTGCCTTGCATTTTTACATGTTTTAATGATAAATTACACTTTATTTGAGCGTAATGGAGTCTATTTTATGTGTAGGTGAATTGGATATGAAAGTAGAGCAAAAGGGATACTTAAACATTGAAAGTGTGCTTGAGAATAATGAAAATGAGAAACCTGGCAAGGCCAGCCAAAGGACAGGCTGAAGCTGGCGTTAGGCTGGCGCTACAAGGCAAAGGCCAGGGTGAGGTTGGCGTTAGGTTGGCGCTGCAAGGATAAGGCTAGGCCGAGGCTGGCGTTAGGCTGGCGACGCCAGGCCTAGGGCAAGGTCCAGTCCGAGTTTTGAAGACTTAATTCATTTCCCAGCTTGACTAGGACTCGACATACACGTTTAGGTCCTTTCCTACATATATAAATAGACCTAAAAATGCCACTTTGAAGGGAGTTTTGCGACTGGAGGCAAGGACATCACGTGGACAACTTTTGGAGAAGAAAATCATAGAGTTCTTCATCCCTTTTTCTTTTCTTTGTAATTTGTTTATGCAAAATACTTGGAAAATCGCTACAGAGAACATGAATGGCTAAGCACTTTACGTTTTAGGGTTGTGGTTGACATGATTATTAACGTTTATTGATTACATCTTCATTAATTTGGATTATCATCTTGTGGTTGTTTCTCTAATTCTGTGCATAATTGCTTAATTGTCTGTCCAGCAGTTGAGTTCTATTTACTATCTACGCAATGCTTGGGAAAGCCGTGTCTAGATTAGAGTAGAATTTGAGAGAGCTTGTTTCTGAATTCGTGGCTCGGGAGAAGATTTCGCGGTTAGGATAGGAATATACCTAATAGTCTTGCTTAATTGAATATTGTATTATATTCGTTCATGATAGACTCAATACCGTAGGAATATAGGTTTGATATATTGTGGGCAGGCGAGTAGTATTGTGGGACATGCTATTCATATAAAAGATCTGGTTAATTAGCAACCATAGATAATCTGGATTAATGAGTGTGATTATTGAACTTAATAGGATTGATAAACCAACCACAACCTTGGAATTTCCATCTCCTTTGAAGTAAAATCTTGTCATACAAAATCGCATTCTTTATAATTTAGTTGTTATTTGTTTAATTTCTGTAATAGTAGATTAATAGAAAAATATCACTCTTAAATATCTTGGACAATTAATTGATTTTAGTTTACTTAGTTAGCGATCAATCTAATTCTGTGTGGGTTCGACATCCGAATTTTGAGTCACTTTATTACTTGACGACCACGTATACTTGCATGTTTGTTTGGTCCCAACAAGTTTTTGGCGTCGTTGCCGGGACTTAGTTATTGATTGTTTAGTTAAGTTAAGATTTTATTTGTTATTTGTTCAAGTTTTAATTTTTTTGTTTGCTTTATTGGTGATAATGCAGGCTCTTATCGTGAATGCGGAGGAGTAGAAGCGCAAACAATCTCCTTCCTCTTGATCCTGAAATCGAACGAACACTTCATAGAGTGAGGAGGGAAGTCGAATCTAGAACTAGAATTGAATGAGAGTTGGACATTGTAGTTCAACCACAGCTAGTAGAGATGGCAGGTAATGAAGAGCGTCCGCTTATAGAGGATGCAAGCCCAATCTGGCTCTTATGACTTAGGCGATCATGAAGCCTGACATCATGGGTCACTTTGAACTCAAACAGTACATAGTACAGCTGATTCAGTCCGCAGGCAATATGTGGGTGTATCTCATGAAGACCCGCAGAAGCACATCCAGAACTTCTTGGAAATTACAGACACTTACAATTATTCGAACATTTCCAAGGACTATGTCAGGTTGATACTGTTTCCCTTTGCACTATAGGGGGAAGCTAAGGAATGGTTACAAAAGGAGACCACGAACTCAATCCACAATTGGGATGATCTTGCAAGGAAATTCATAATCAAGTTTTTTCCCACAAAGAAGACAAAATCACTGAAGAGCCAGATTCTGGGGTTTCAACAACAAGATGGAGAGACTCTCCGACAAGCTTGGGAAAGGTACAAGAAATTACTTAAAGACTTCCCACATCATTGTTAGACTGATGAGGTGTTGGGTCACACTTTCGTTGATGGGTTGGATGAGGCATCAAAGATGAATCTTGACTCAGCTTGTGGGGGTAGCTGCATGGTAAGACCGTATAGTGAGATCCAGATCCTGCTAAGTAATTTCACTGCTAATGATAATAATTGGCAAAGAGATGGGAAACCACAAAGAGCACTCAAACAAAAGGCAGTTGGGGTGATCAAGCTTGATGACTTTTCAGTAATGAGGGAAGATATAGCGAGATTAGCGAATCAGATAAATAAAATGACAATGCACCACGCACAACAAATGCAACATATACAACAGATGTCTACTTGTTGCGAGTTATGTGGTGAAGGTCACACAAGTGATATATGTCCTGTGAATCCTGAATCTATCTACTACGTGGGGCAACAAGCTAGAGGGCCGATGAATCAAAATGCTCAATATGGTAACACATACAATCTGAACTGGAGGAATCATCCTAACTTCTCTTGGGGTGGAAATCAGAACATCAGGCCTTAAGGGAATTACAATCATCCACCTCAACCCCCACAGCAAGCGGAAGAGAGTTTGACTGACATGATGAAAAAGCTCTTGACAGGCAATCAACAGTTGCACAAAAAATTCAGAAATCTAGAGAGGCAGTTTGGGCAAATGGATAACAATCAGAATACTAGACCTCCTGGAGCTCTCCCGAGTGATACTGAACCTAATCCTAAGGCTCAAGTCAATGCGGTTACCTTGAGAAATGGAAGAGAATTAGAAGAAGTTCTAGAGAAAAAGAAGTATATAGCTAGACCTGAAGGAAAATTAGTTCCTAAGCCCGATGAGGAGAATGAGAAAGAAAAGCCAGAAATTGTGACAAGGCCACCACCTCCGTTTCCACAAAAACTACAAAAGTAAAAAGATGATGCTATGTATAAGAAATTCTTAGATATTTTGAGCCAAGTGCGTGTGAATTTGCCTTTGGTGGAAATTTTGTAGGAAGTGCCAAAGTATGCAAGATATCTCAGAGATATTGTGGCAAACAAGCAAAGATATACGGAGTTTGAAATGGTTGCACTTACTGAAGAGTGTAGTGCTAGAGTTCAAAGTAAACTCCCTCCTAAGTTGAAGGATCCTGGGTGTTTCACAATTCCTCTGTCTCTTGGAAAACAATAAGTTGGTAGAGCCCTGTGTGATTTAGGGCTAGTATAAATTTGATGTCATCCTCTTTGTTCAATCAACTCGGATTGGGGTGCTTAGACCTACTACAATCACTTTGCAGATGGATGATAGGTCACTAGTTATGCCGGAAGGAATTATTGAGGATGTGTTAGTTCGAGTGGGAAAGTTTATTCTTCCTGCTGATTTTATTGTTCTTGATCGAGGCAAATGAGGAAGTACCCATTATTTTAGGGCGACCATTCTTAGCTACTGGTGGAGCGCTTATTGATGTTATGGAAGGAAAGCTGAAGATGAGAGTTGGCAATGAGGAAGTTACTTTTAATGTGTACAAGGCACTTAAGCTCCCTACGCGTTATGAGGACTTGTGCATGATTACTGCAGTAGAACTTAAGGGGATAGAGCAGAGTCCTGATGTGAATTATAGTGATTCGGATAGGACGACTGAGTTGGATGAGATGATGGTGCAATGTGAGTGTGTAAGGATGATTGAGAAAAGAGCAAGAGATGAAAGAGGAGATCTTCTGAGAGAGTGTAAAAAGGCTAGGCTTAATGGGAGAAAGAAGAAGAGAAATCGCCCAACCTGAGCAGAGTAGCAGTGTCGCGCCGCGACGTTAAATCAAGCGCTTGTTGGGAGGCAACCCATCTTTACTGCTTTCTTTTATTTTTATTTTTATCTTATTATTGTTGTAGTGTTGATTTTGTTTTGTAGGATTTTAAGAATATGAGGCAGAGTCATTGGAAGAGTGCAAAAGCGAGTTAGATAGTGAGAACTAAGTATGGGGTGCCACACAAAAGACTATGCATGAGGAAGTCTGAGTACCCGTTGTAGACATGTAATTTTTGACCCTCCCCAAGAGTTTACACATTTTAGCGTAAATAGTTAGTTTAGGTTTAGTATCGCTATTATAAATAGTTTTGACTCTTTTACTTTATTTTGTCACAAAAATAAAAATTATAAAAAATATTTTCTTTTATTTAGCTAGTTGATATAAAATAATTTCACTTTTAATTTTTAATTTTACTTTAGTTAATTAGAAATGATTTCATAATTTTGTAGTTGTTATTTTAGGAGTTAATATTTTTAGTCTAGTAGAATTAAAGGGACACTTTTTAAAGGTAAATTTGGCCAAATTTAGATTTAGCCCATAATTCCTAAGCCAATACTCCTCTAACCTAAAAATAACCCAAAAAACTCTAAACCTAGAGAAGGGACCTAACGCCTAAGACCTTTAAGAAGGTTCAGCCATTTTTCTAATTAAGAGACACACAAAAAAAAAACTTCAGCACCTAAGGCCTTAGAGACCAAAAAAGGACCCCTCGTCTCATCTTCTTCAACCTAGCAGCCAGAACCCTAGAGACCCTTCTTCTTTATGTTCCTGAGACAAGAACACTAGAGAACCCTAGAGAAATAAATGGAGTCATTTCCCCGAGCTCATCCATCAGCTGCTCGAACAAGCAGCGTCGATCTCACAACCAACGACCCCGTTCTTTCTCTGAACTCACGAAAAGAACACACACAGCAGTCGCTGCAGCTTCTTCACTTCACACCACCAAACGTCAGCAACTCTCAACTGCCCAAACTTTATCTTCTTTAAACCCATCAGCTACACACACACACATGCACATAAGGGAATAAATGGACATAGAGAGAGACTGAACAGAGTGAGGGAATAGACATGGCAGCATTGACACTCGTTTGTCAAAATCTGTCCAAAGCTCCGTCTGGTGGTTCCGTCGAGGTTCGATTTGAGATCGTTGTTCTTTGTTTCCGGTTTCAGTTTTGAGTTTCAATTCTTTCATATACACGTGTTATTTCTGTCTATTTACGATGCTCTGTTCATGAAATTCTCGCTATCGTTAATTGCTATCTACTTTTAATTTCATATACATAATTTTGATGACATGAATCTGAAGTTACACATTGTGAATACATTATTTGTAGTTGAGTATTTTCGTATTTGAATCTCGTTATCTAGGTTAAATTGATTTTGTTTGTGTGATAGCTCCTCTTTGTAATTGATAGCAAATTGAGTGTGAAATTACTTGTCGAACTTATCAGCAATACAAGTTTTGTTTTGCTTTGTTGCATCAGACGATTTTGGCAATTGATACACGAACAATATGGAGCTTCATTTGTTTTGAATGTTGGTAGTATTGGCTATTTTATGTTGAATAGGCCGTTTGTTATTAGTGGTTCAATGCCATTGAGGTTCTGTTTGTATGATAGCTCCTCTTTGTAATTGATAGCAAATTGAGTGTGAAAAGCTTGATGATATGGGGATAATTTTCTTAAAAATCAGATTTGGCCTCTGCTTTTATATTGTGTATTGGACTTATTGGCCATTGTATTTGGTTCTAATTTAGTAATTCGATCGTTAGGAGCATACTTAGGCTGTTAAAAAGCATGAATATTCGTAGTTTGCTTTAGGCACTATAATAAATCATCATAGCTACGGGTACGGTTCCCATGATGCAGTTGTGATACGTAATTTCCAAAATCCCGGTGCACATATATGTGACCCGGCCACAACTTCTAATAATGTTAAATAAAATTAAACATGTTGTAGATTGTGAGTACGGTTCCCGTGACATGATTCGCAATATGTACCAAACAAACAAGTGTACGACAATCGTAACTTGTTCCAGAACAATTCCATAAATAATTAAAAGCGGCCAAAGGTTAAAATGCATGTAGGTTTAAAATGTGCAATTAATCAGATAATTAGGCCAATATTAATAGTTGAGCAACTGTGCTAAAATCATGAAACCCGGGAATGCCTAACCCCTTCTTTCAGGTTAACAGAATTCCTTACCCAGATTTCTGTGTTCGCAGACCTTAAAAAAGAGTCAAACTTCCTCGATTCAGGATTTTAAACCGGTGACTTGGGACACCATAAATTATCCCAAGTGGAGACTCTAAATTTGAATGCAAATAATCCCGTTTCGATTTTTGTCACTTTAATTGGAAAAACTCTCCTATACCCCTTTAGGGGTAGGAGAAAGGAGGTGTGACAGCTCTGGCGACTCTGCTAAGAACAAGAACCCAGAACTTCTGGTTCAGGGTTCAAGAATTCGAGCTTAGAATAATTGTTATATTTGGCTTTTATTTATTATTTGATTTTATTACATGTTTGGGCCTAATGTGCTAAATGCCACTTTTTACCGCTTTGATATCATTTGAACTGTATATAAACTGCTGTGAAATCCCTCTCTTCTAATCTTATAGGAAGTTCACGCTGGCATGACTTCTTTTCTGTTAGTGTCATACCCTAATTCAGAATGAGGTTCGGACAAGTTACAAAGCCGGATGACCTTTTGGTTCTCGGTACGTTGCCCCTTCCCCCCCCCCCCCGGCTCGAGTTGTCCGCTCGGGTAAGCCAGGTTTAAAACAATACACCCAGGATTTAAACCTAGAATGACATAGCCTCATGTCGGATCCCTAGTAGGAACGCTTGTTTGCATCACGTGAATCTGACTTTGGGGACTCAACACAGGGGTTTGGTCCGTCTAGGACAGGTGTATCCAAAAAATAAAAGACCATCCTGATGCATCCTATGTGCTACATGTTGTAATTTTCAAGGGTAAAAAGGGACATTTGGCGGACCAATGAGGCTTGAGGATAAATGAGAAAAAAAGAGGGTGAAGTGTAAAAAATAAAGCAAGTAGGGCCTAGTTATGTTTTTCTTTCACATTTTTTTAAGAAAAAGACAAAAAAAAACATGAAAAATCCCAAAACTTTTGCACTTTCCTATCATTTTCCCAAAAAAAGAAAAAAAGAAAAAGAAAATTCAAAAAGAGTTTAAATTTTTCATCATTTTCAAAAAAAAGGACAAAAAATATATTTTCTCTAAATTAGTTATTTTTTTAATTTTCGCTCGTATCCAATCTTCCCGAAGTACGTGAACCTGATTCTCGTCTCTCGGGGCAGGATATGTAAGCAGCCCACATAGATTTCGGTCTTCCTAGTGAGTCTTAGGTTCTTGGCTTCAAGAGTCGTAGCCAATTCTTTCATGTCTAGCCACTTTTGGCCATACGGTCATTTTGTAAAATATGGCTATTTTTACAGAAGTGGTTTGTTTAATTGTTTGGAGAGTCTTGAATCCACAATTAGGTGTCTTTTTACTGTAAGGCCCATCCTTGTCGAATTTGCATGTCTAGCCGCTTTTGGCCACATCGGCCATTGTTGCAAAATGGGGTCATTTTCACAAATGTGGTTCAGTGACCCATGTCTTAGAGTTATAAGTCCACAACAAGATGTTCTCTCTGTTTAAGGTCCATTGTGTTGAATTTGCATGCTTAGCCATCTTTGTGTCCACATAGGCCATTTCTACAAAATGGGTCATTTCTGTAAAGTAATTTTTCCATGTCTTAGAGGTCACCTTTGTTGAGTTTTCATTTCTAGCAACCTTTTGGCCACATAGGCCATTTTGCAAAAAAAAAAAACTTCAATCATGTCCTGCATGTGTCCGATAGGAAGTTTTATTGTCTCATATAGTGTTCTAAATCTTTAACTCTATTTGGTTTTAGTTTTCTCATACATGTGTGGATCTACTTACCGGAATTTGAGCATGACAGATACCCCGGGACCATCCAGTTAGGATCGCTCATTCAGGAGTTGCTTGTTGGAAATTGTGTGAACTGAGTTGTGTCATTGGACTCTACTGTTGAAATATTTAGAGTTCAAGTTGAAATTCTCTTGTCAAACTTCTTGTATGCTGATGAAAGTTCTGTTGGGATAAGTCCTTGATTGTATGAGCATTGTTTTGTGATTTTAATTCAATCTATGAGCTATTTGTGGGGCAATGTTTGAAAGTAAATCATGCATTGTACACCAGTTATCTTTGAGCTAAGACTTCGAAGTTCTGAAGCTTATTTTGTTGAAGTTTGCCACTATTTGTGGAGAAGTTTTTGGAGTAAACTGATAGCTGAAATTCTCCTAGTTTGAACTTGTTACCACCGGTTTCTAATAGTTGTTGTTGTCATTAAGTTTAATATAGGGGATTCAGTTGGACTAGAGATTGAGCAGCTTGAAATGTTCTCCTTGTTGAATTGAGTGCTTTTGTTACATAAACTATTGTCCAGTTGGTTAGAATCTGCTGATAGAAGTTGAAGGTTTGCTGGGCAATAATTTGCGGGTAGTTTCCTGTTGCTGTAAAGGATTTCGTGCTTGCTGCCCGTAGTCCTGTATTGTTCAGCTTCTGCTCAACAGTGAAGATTTCTGCATTTCTTTTGTGGATTGATGTTACTCAGTTTTTCTGAACAGTTGAGGGAATTTTGCACAAGTTTTAGCTTCAGTTAACACAAATGCATTGCTTCAGTTTATATTCCAACAATACTCTACTGAAATTCAAGTTGAGCAGTCTTTTGAAAGCAAATTCTGCATTGTCAGCTGCACATTGTCTGCACTTTGTGGTTATTCTGGTTGAAGTTGTTGTCTATCTGTGTGCCACCTACTGAGTTTGATCACTGCGAGAAGGGGGATGCATTATATGCAATGGAGCTCGCACTTTGTTTAGAGAAGTTGGCGAATCAAAGGCTTCTAAACTTGCACGTTGTAACCTCACGAAGCAACGATGTGCATTTGGATGATTTTCTTGAAAGTGAGTTCTTGGTTGAACAGGTGGACGCTATCAAGAAGATCTCAGAATATGTTGCTTAGCTGAAAAGAGTTGGCCAAGGACATGGCGTCTGGCAGTTCGATCAGATGCTGCTGAATGAGGGAGCTACCGCTTGAAGGAGAAGATAGAATTACAATTTGCATTTCTATTTTGCCATTGTGGAGGATATTTTCTTTAGTATATTTTGATATGAGAAAGAGCTATGACATTCTAGGGCCTCTTAGTAGTAGAAAGTATGAGTGGTAGGAAAGTCGGTGTAAGACTAACTTAATAGATCTAGCCAACTGTGCTATAGCCTACTAGTTGTCAAGTACTTTTGAAGTTTAATTAGTTCTATCTAGGGTATCATGCTTTCTCTTGTAGCTTGAACATGAAGTGCACCCAGAAAGCACTCTATCAAATTTTAGTGAATCACCATTTGTTTCTAAAAAAACAAAAAACAAAAAAAAATTAAAACAAAAAATAAATTAAAAAAAAAAGAAAAAAAGAAGAAAAGAGAGGTGAAATTATGGGATGTGAGAAATGAGAGGAAAGAAAAGAGTGATAATTAGAAGAAAAAAAGAGGAAGAAAAATGAGCAAGCCAAGAAGTGCTAGAAAAGAAAGAAAAGGGAAGATTGAAATGAACAAAATTGGGATGATGTCAAGTGACCTTGTGACCCTCGAAGTCATTCTAGAATCGTTAATTGTTGCTAGGTGCATTGCACGCAATGTGATTTTTTAGCTGTTGAATGCCCTAATGCTAACAGAATGACCCCATTTTGTTCCTTTTTTTATCTTCATTGAGCAGAATGGTGGTTGGTTTGTGGTTCTTAAGTAACTCATCCATACAACACAAGGTCAAAGAGTAAGGTAGCCATGGTTAGCAAAGACTTGGACACAGGTGTTATTGATCCGTCTAAGGAGATTGTTGAATCAGAATCTAAGTTGAAAGAAGAGGTTTTAAGGTTGAAAGGACATATGGCCGAAATATACCAAGCCTGGATTAGTGGGCGTCTTCCACCATTAGTTCCCGCTAACTACACTAAAAGCCTCGTCACCGTTCCGCTACTATCACAAATCCAGCTTCCCACTGCTATTGATATCTCCCCACAACCTTTTCACACTCCACCCGCCAAAATCACCTCATACCCCGTTCATTTGACTACTCATGTTTTTGTAGCTCCTCCACTAGCTACTCTTCCTCGATCCTCTAGCGAGATTGTGGGAATTTGCTGGCTGAAGTTAATGATATTGAAGTTGGTAATGGTCTTGATAATATTGATGTGGAACTTAGTGGCTAAGATGTCGATCTTGGTAATTGGAAAGACGATCCTTTCTTGGCTAGCCGGGGAGGAGTCTTGGTGGTTCATTTTTGTTGTCCGAGTTATTTTAGGGTTGTAATCCGGATATTGTCTTGTGACTCAAACCCTTCTATCCTTTTATTTTCCCATTTTGTTTAGTCGTAGTAACTCGTTTAGTGTTATCTAGGTTTATTCCAGAGTTGTAACCACAGTTTATTTTGCTTGTTTTGTTGTTCAAATCCTTTCACCATCTGTCTAATGCAGTTTTCTGTTTTCTGTTATTTCTAGTCATTTTTTGTTTAGTTCTCTTCTCCTTTTATAGTTCTTTTTATGCTGGCTCTAGTGACATGACATGCACGCATAATTCTAGGCATGGTCTTAAAAGTTAGTTTAATCATGATGCAATGAAACAATTTTGAAGATGATAGGGACATTTGAAAGAAATAAGTACAGATTTGGATATTTTGAGATCATTTAAAGCCCAAACAGTGTGAAACTAGAGAAAATAATTTGGGAAGTTAATAGGATGACAAGAATTCGTTAAAGAAGAGTGCATCCCAAACAATTTGAAGCGAGCAGTTTTGAGTTCAAGTGCACCTCAAGTAACAAGATAAAGCCAAGGGAGTTTGCTCTAAATTGACGGAGGGTATCCATTATGAAAAAGAAATTATCCAGCGAGAGTTCTGTACTTGACAAGGCGCTAAAGAAGTGTGGAAGGCAGATCAATGATATCAATGTCGAAGCTGTAAAAGAAATGTTGTGCATGATCTTCTTTTTCATTCTCAAGTTGAACATGTTGCACTTGGCATTTTCAGGGATTAGGAAGCCCTTTTTCAGCTACCCAAACACTTTATACCCTTTCGTGTACCGCTTTTGAGCCTATGCTAACTTTTTTGACCTCCCCTCTTTTAGAATCAAGTGATAGTAAAAAAAAATTCATGTCCCCATAGGTTTGTTTTAGAAAGTTCATTCCAAAAGGAAAATTCAAAATAAAAATAAAAAAAATAATAGAATAGAGATAATGTGAAAAAAAAAGGAAAAAGAAAAAAAAGAGAAAAAAGAAGGAAAAAGAAAAGAAAATGGAAAATAGTAACAAAGAGTAGTCTTGTGAACTACGTTCGACCTGATTCTTGTCACCACAAGATACGTAGGCAGCCTTACAGTACGGTCGCACCAAATAAAATATTTCATTATCCTACGAAGTCGAGAGTAGGGCAGTCTTTATTAGAAATTCCATTTCAAAAAGAAAAACAGAAAAAAGAGAATCAAATTCCATTGTTTTAGAAATTGGGGCAAAGTTTTTAGAATGGATTCCAAAAGTTGTAAATAAATTTATTCCATTGTCTTAGTTATTTTGAGCCTTTATGATATCTTTTCTTTCTAACCTTGTCCAAAAGCCATATTACAGTCCTAAAAGACCTCCCAAATAATCTTTGAGAGTGCCGAGTCAAACATGCCAGGAGCATATGATATTTCTATCGCGGTTAATGCCTTTTCATCTGCAGAATCAGAGGGGGAAAAAAAGAATAAAAGAAAAATGAGAGAGTCTTATTGGTAAAAACCTTCACAGGCACCATAAGGCAATGGTAAGTTGAAAAAAAGAACAAAATGAGAGAGGCTTGATGGTGAAAACCCTTCGGGCACTACAAGTCAAATAAGAACCGTGAATCGGATAGGATAGTCGGAGCATGAAAGCCCAGTTTCACGACTCAGAGGTACAACAAGAGTTGAACATTAGACTTGCTTGACAGATTAGGCCACTTAATCTAAAGGTGCATGTCATGGTCATTAGAGTTGGTATCCACATTTGATAAGTTTCTACTTTGTAGTTTTCTTGTTTATTTCCTCTTCCTGAGTCTGTTTGGTCAGAACAAGTGAGAAATGACTTCAAAATTTTCCATCAGCTTCCAATTGCATAAAACGAAATCTGGCTAGCACATCAAAGTGGCATATGTCAGGAAAGAATAGAATGTGCACTGGGTTGGTAACAATCAATGTGCTTTGGGATTCATGTGAAATACAAAGGTTCGGTATATGTCAATTTATGAGCACAATGCAACAGATAGAGGGTTTTGGGTTTGAATGGATCAGAGGTACTTTCTATGATAATGGTGACAGAAAAAGTGGTTAGTCAATAAACAAGCAAGGTCTTTCGAGTTGAAATCAAAGTTATCATGGGAAGTGAAGGAGCAATCGCCCTCAAAGTCAAGGTCACAAACCAACTACCATGTTTGAACTCACAAGTTTTCTTTGTTTGAAATAGGGGCAGGAAATTTTGTGTCCTAGAGGAACCATCCGTGAGGAAAGTGTGCGCCAGATAGGTTCAATTGTAAGTTCTCAAGACCCTCCTGGATAATAGGATTTAATTTAAAGTTCTTAGGGCCCTCCTGGATAATGGGATTTAATTTAAAGTTTGCAGGACCCTCCTGAATAATGGGATTTAATTTCAAGTTCTCAGGACCCTCCTGGATAATGGGATTTAATTTAAAGTTTTCAGG